CCAGGGCAGAGCCTCTGCCTTCCCCACCCCAGGCGCTCTTCCCTGCCAGACTCCTGCTTACACCTTCCTTCTCGCTGGTGAGCCACCTCCTCCAGGAAGCCCTCTACCCGGTCCACATGGATCGGTTCCCGGAAGTCACCTGTTGTGATCATGGCAACCAGACAGACTGGTCACGACTGCTAGTTCTGTGGTTTGTGTGATCTTGGACCTGTTACGTAGCCTCTCTGTGCCTCTGTCCCCTCATCTTTAAGATGGAGAGCGTGTTGGCACTGTGTGGAGATCTAGCGAGAGCAGAGGCAGGCAGGAGCCGGCACGTAGAAGGTGCTGCAGAAATAGTGACGGCACAAATGACGGGCATGACTCCTCCCCCCCCCCCCGGCCTGCGCTGTCCCTCCCTTGGATCTGAGAGCTTCAGTCCCAGCCCAGCGCAGCCCAGCGCAGCTCCTGAGCTGGAGTCAGGAGGTTGAGCGAGGATGATCCCCACCGCTCCGTGGGGTCTTCTGCCCCCTGGTGGCTGCGTGGAGCACATGTGCGGTGTTGTGGGATGACCCAGGGCCCAGACTTAGTAGAGACCAAGAAAACTGTCCCCACCCATGCAGGAGGAAGGGCCCTTCTCAGGAGAGGAGGGGGTACCTGTCACAGGTGGCGGAGGAGGGGCGGGGGGGGAACAGGTCAGCTGTCCTTGATTCATGACACATTGTAGTAGAGTGTCACGCACAGCCCCCTGGGAGTGCGTGGATGTATTTACTCCTTCTCCATTCACTTATTCACGTGGCACACTGAACCTCCGAGGCTGGAAAACACCCACGGGCCCCAGACCCCCCACAGCGTACTCTGTTTTTCCTATTTCCCCATTTGTTTGCAGTTCGTTGAAATGGTTTTCTCAGTAAATGACACTGGTTATTTTGCTTGCTTGGACACTTCGTGTGTCTTCTTCGCGGACTTGCTTTTTTGCCCTGTCTTGTGTTATTAAGATTCGTGCTCTAGCCTGGCACCAGTGGCTCACGCCTGTCCTCCTAGCTGCTCAGGAGGTTGAGATCTGAGGATCTGAGTTCAAAGCCAGCCCGGGCAGGAAAGTCTGTGAGACTCTGGGTTTTTTTTTTTGTCGGTTGTGGGACTTGAACTCTGGGCCTGGGCGCTGTCCTTCAGCTCTTCAGCTCAAGGCGAGCGCTCTACCACTTGAGCTACAGCGCCACTTCCGGTTTTCTGGTGGTTTTCATTGGAGATAGGAGTCTCACGGTCTCTCTGCCCGGGTTGGCTTCCTCAGATCTCAGCCTCCTGAGTAGCTAGGATTACAGGCGTGAGCCACCAGCGCCTGGCTCTGTGAGACTCTGATCTCCAATGAACCACCAGAAATCCGGAAGTGGTGCTGTGGCCGGTAGAGCGCTGGCCGTGAGCTGAAGAGCTGAGGGACAGTGCGTGGGCCCAGGGTTCAAGCCCCGAGACTAGCACGCAAAAAACTAGAGGGGTGTCGCAACTGGTAGAGCACCAGCCTTGAGTGAAAAAAACGAGCAAGAACCTGAGGCCCTGAGTTCAAGTACTGGTGCATGCGCACACTCAACGCACATACGTGCGCACACACTCACACACGTGCGCGTGCACTCACACTCTAGTGGGCCAGGTCGCCCCGCTGTCGGGGCTCAGGCCGGAGTCGGGACGGCGGGGTGGCGGGGTGGCGGGGTCCTCGCGTCCTGACCCGGCCCGTGCGGTCCGCAGGCGA